ATGCTCAAAAAATTCCATTAACATTTTTAAAAGATATTAAGCAAACCAGAAATATATATACGTATACACACATACATATATACTTTTTATATACCTACATACATGCTGTAACTTAATACCTACACCAAACTCTAAGAGAAATGGCTAATCTCCTGAGGCCTACAGATCCACTCGAGCAAAATAAGTCATCTTCTTTTTTCACTAACTTGGCAGTGAAGCTCTTCTCCCACTTTGGAACCTAATGAGGTCAGCCGTGGTGACAGCAGTCAAAGGAGAACCCAGCCAGGTCATCCAAAAGCAAGTATCATCTCTACTCATAATCTCGACTTTCTTCCCTTCTTCCCCATAGTCTTTTATAGAAAATAATAATAATAATTGAATAGAAATTATATTTTAACTTAATTTTTTTCTCTCACATTCCTGTCAGATGTGCTACTACAGTCAAAATCAACCAAAGGTTTTGACAGGAGGAAAAACAGAATCAGTCCCTGAATCACAGAGACTTGAATCACCAAACATTCAACGGGCGTGGTATGACAATAGTTTTGACTTGAAGACTTGTGTTCATCTGTCATTTTAACTGAAGCTGTCTTTTGGGAGTGCCAAGGCTTCCGGCTGCCAGGGAATCCTAAGGGACTTGCAATTGGCCTAGAACCCATTTCACTTGCCAAAATGTCTAATTTATTATATTAAGAAAATTCTCTCTGCTGATAACAACAAAATCATTAAGCAACTATCACTTTTTGGCTTTTTAGACAAAAATGCTCCCTTACTTCTCTCCTGTTCTAAATGTTATTATTTTAAACATACCTCATTACTATTTATTATGCCCAATTAAAGGTACTTGCATATTTGCATCATGTCTTTCATGGTTTAAACTCACTTTGGCACATTAACAAAATCCTATTATTGTTCATTTAACCTTTAGAAAGTTCACAGATATCTAACCTACCTGTCACCAAGATTTGTGTTTATGCATTAGGCATTTCCCAACTGGACCATTTCACAGACTCCTGGCTGGCTCTTCTCATTCATTCAGTGTGTGTTTACAATTGACTGAAAATTTACAAGGTGCTTAAGTTTTTTTGTTTTTTTTTTTTTTCTCTAAAGTTCTCGTTTTTGCTCTCCCCCTGGACTGGCATAATGACTTTCTTTTTTTTTTGAGACGGAGTCTCACTCTGTCACCAGACTGGAGTGCAGTGGTTCGATCTCACTCAGGCTGGAGTGCAGTGGCACAATCTCAGCTCACTGTAACCTCCACCTCCCATATTCTAGCGAGTCTCCTGCCTCAGCTTCCTAAGTAGCTGGGACTACAGGTGTGGGCCATCACGCCCGGCTAATTTTTGTGTTTTTTAGTAGAGATGGGGTTTCACCATGTTGGCCAGGATGATCTCAATCTCCTGACCTCATGATCCCTCCACCTCAGCCTCCCAAAGTGCTGGGATTACAGGTGTGAGCCACCCTGCTCAGCCATGACTTTCTTCTTTATGTGAGAGTTACCTTTAAAATTAAGGTAGCGTCTTCTTACTTTGTTTCTGTTGCATAGTTTCCAACAAAGAAAAAGAAAGAAGGGGGAAAAAAGCTATTCTAATGAATTTTGGGGATAATTTCAATTTCATTTTTACAAAGAAAAAATAGACTCAGGCTGTCCTAGCTTAAGCTCTTATTTTCCAAAGACTTTTAAAAGGAAGCATCCCAAGGAGCTTTAAGCAGAAAAAAAAACAAAAAGGAAATAATTCTATTTCAAGAACTGGACTGTTTCTGCATACATGGAACTCATGTATGGGAACCTGTAGCTGGGCTGGGGCAATAACCTACACATTAACTGTAGTAAGAATATTTTGGGCATAGAAAGCCCACGCTATCCTCGCTGAAACTGGAGCTGGCCTGAAAAAACTTGAGAGGTGCTCAGAGGCTATGGTAAAGGCATCAGGGACAAATCCTACTGATGATGCTTCCTATCAGTAAAAGACCCCCCTTACCCTGCTTTGCCAATCATCAAAATAGATTTTCACCAGTCCATACTCACCTCTGCCCAATATATCATCTGCAACAGAACAAATCAAATTACACACGTGGAGCATAGCTGCCCTATTTAGAGACACAGCCCGATCTCCTTGGATCAAGCTTTCCATACCAGCTTTCACAAGCCCCAGTTCAGTAGAAAGTGAGGTCCTTACTCACCAGCCTGAGGTGTGCACTGCACGATGTTGAAAGCATGGGTTTATAGCACTCTCTAGTTGTAACTCTGCCACTATACTAGAATGAGATAATTCAGCTAAGATACTTGGATACTCCTATGGTGCATCATTGTTTTGATATTCCTTGTGAATTATTTTTTCCTGACAGGGTAAGTGGAGTGGAGGCGAGAAGTCAGAAAAGTAACATTTGTAAGCTAGTTTCTCTGCATGTGCCAGATGCTGTGTAAGCACTTCACATGCACTCTTCACAACAAGAACATTTGTTATTCCCACTGTAGAGAAGAAAAAATTGAGTTTTAGGGTGAGGCATACATCAGTAAGTGGAGAGATTCCAAAACTAAATTCAGAGCCTAAACATACCACACACATGCCAAAAGAACTGGAATTGTGATGGACATTGTCACTGAGGACGGCTTCTCCCAGAACCCGCAGAGACCTCTTTCTGGGTGCATCCCACCCTGTTTCCTTCCTGGATGATCTAATGGCTGCAATTCTAGTTGAGGCTCCTTTCTTACCTATAGAATCTCCAAAGTCTCCCAATACTAATCCTTGTCTTCTACTCCTAAGCATTGCCTAGAATGAAATACACCCTCCAAAGACTACCTGTAAGGCCTTGCAGGATCTTCTCCCTACTCATCTGTACTGCCTAATTTTCACCTATATACCCTTCTTTTCTGTTCTTCAATATATTTTTTTTTAACTAGAGGAGAGCATGAACACAGTTCCCGTACTACCACAGATTGTGCAGTAGAATTTCCCAGATTTGAAGGAATCTCAGGGGTCAGTACACCTGATCTGCAATGGATAAGGCTTGCCCTGGAAAAATAATCTTAGGAATCATGGCATCTCCCCTGCCAGGTATATTCTCCTACACACCCTTCAATGCATCCAATATAAACTTTCATCTATCTTCCAGGTATGCTTCTGCTGGGGCTTCCAGTCATGTGCCTCCACCTCCTTCTTTGCCTGAAAACCCAATCTGTCCTTTAAGCTTTTGCTCAAATAGTACTTCCTCCTTGAAGCCAAACTCTCTCTCCAACCCCTGACTCTGACTTTTCTGTTTAAGAGTAAGTTCCTTGAGGGTTAAATTCGTGTCTTATTCAACATCAATGTGCAGTCACATACTGGGCCAAGGCCACATAATTAACCAGAGTCAGAACTCAGTTCTGATGACCCAACAAGCATGTGGTTTGGGGCTTTGCTGGGATCACAGCAGGGTTTTATGCTATTTTCTTGTGCCATTCAGAGCAGCGAAGGCAAACTGTATCCTCAGATATGTGTCCTTCGAATACGTAAGAAGAAAGTCTTATTCCATTTTGGATTATCCTAGAACAGATTAGCTTGTAGAGTTGTGAAGACTGAAAATGTCATTTGGAGGATTTGAATAACACAAGTGTGGGAGGATAAAAACAATCGACCAAATAACATTTTTTTCCACAGTAAGAAAAAAAAAAAAACCTGTAATGATGTTCATTCATGAACAAATTTTTATTAGTTCTCATGGCCAATCTGCCAACAGAACACACTCCATAATGGACCTACACTGCCCTTCTTGCCAGGCTCCACAGCACTCTCACTTGGAAAGACAATTTCAGTTATACCCTATTACATACCAGCCTCTTCATCTCAAGAAATACACATTCCAAGCATCTACTCTGGATATGCCTTTGCGTTTCTGTGGAACTAAACTGGGAACCCATTTCCAAAGTGGCTGGCATGTTTCATTTTAGAGTAAAAACTGGGAAAGTTATTGAGCAAGAACCTGAATTAATCTAAAAGAAACGATAGGAAGAGTGCAGTTTTGGGTGTAAGGAAAATATTCTCTATCTCATGTCAATAACCTCAGTCATTTTTTTTCAACAAGAAAAGGCATTTCCTTTCTTCTTGCTAGCCACCATTCGTATTCAATTAATAACAAACTCTTGTCCATGTTTATTTCCAAAGCACTTCTAAAATCTAATAACCCTCTCTCTGCAGGTACCAGCATTCAGACCCTTAACAGCCCTTATATGGATGTATTTTCCCCCTATTTCTTCTTAAAACTATCCTTCAATGATTCTCAAACTGTGGAGTGTAAAGGAGTCATCTGGGATAAGAATCACCTGAATTTTTTTTTTTTTTTTTGAGACAGAGTCTCACTCTGTCACCCAGCAGCTGGAGTGCAGTGGTATGATCTCAGCTCACTGCAACCTCCACCTCCTTGGTTCAAGCAATTCTCCCATCTCAGCCTCCCAAGTAGCTGGGACGACAGGCATGTACCACCACACCCAGCTAATTATTTTTTTTTATTTTTAGTAAAGACAAGATTTCACCATATTGGCCAGGCTGGTCTTGAAACCCTGACCTTGTGATCCACTTGCCTCAGCCTCCCAAAGTGCTGGGATTACAGGCGTGAGCCACCGTGCCCAGCCTCACCTGCATTTTTTAAATGCAGATTTGTAGCCACTATTCCACAGAGAGTCTGATACATGAGGTGTGAGTGGGGCCCAGTGATTTACATTTTAACCAAGCATCCCATGCAACTCTAATATAGGTACTTTGAATGCCACATTTTGATGAGAACAAGGACTACATTGGCCTGAAACTATAGGATTTAAAATAAAAATCTTAAAACAATTTACATGTACTAAAATTTCTCACATCTTTTCCCATATTCAACTGGAAACAGTGAAAATTATTGACCATGATGACATAAATGTTCAAAGACCTCCGTGAATTGACGCCTTTCTTTCTCTTACGCACTTCTCAGGGCCTCCAGGATAATACTGTGCCAAGACATACAGTGTGTTCTTCCTCACAGAGCTCTCTCTGGTTTTGAAGACCCTCCTAGAACTTTTTTCTGGCCAACTTCCATCAGAGATCTCCTCTTCTAGCAACGTCCCTGGGTCCCATCCCCTCCCACACCCACATGTCTTAGGAGAGCTCTACCTGTGCAGCTTCTAACATAGCATTCCCCACAGTGTAGTGAGACCATTTACAGTTGCCCCTTGAACAACACGTGTGAATTGCACAGGTCCACTTGTATATGTGGATTTTTAAAAAAACAAAAGTTACACCAAGTGTACCTGCCTCGCCTGCCTCCCCTTCCGCTTCCTCTACCACTTCTGCCTCTGCCACGCCTGATACGGCAAGACCAGCGCCTCTACCTCCTCAGCCCCCTCAACGTGAAGACAATAAGGATAAAAGCGTTATGATGATCCACTTCCACTTAATGGACAGTAAATATATTTTCTCTTTCCTGTGATTTTCTTAGTATTTTCTCTAGCTTATTTTACTGTAAGAATACAGTATATAATACATATAACATGCAAAATATGTGTTAACCGACTGTTTCCGCTCTTGGTAAGGCTTCCAGTCAACAGTAGGCCATTAATAGTTAAGTTTTGGGAGAGTCCGAGGTTATAGGCAGGTTTTCAACTGCATGGCTGATCAGTGCCCCTACCCCCACATTGTTCAACCGTGACCTATTTTCATATAAAGAGCATGCCTTATTTTTTGCCTAGCCTCCTATGTAGGAAACAATCAATAAACAATGTCTATTGGAGTTGATTCTCAAATGCTATCACACTCCCATACAACTGGTTCTCTTATCCCATAAACCAACTTAGGATTTGATGCGCCTGGTCTAGAATCTCCTGACTCCCTTAAAAGGAGTAGAATCAGTTCTTAATTGCTCATCCCAAGTGTAAATCCAGCAAGGAAACAGAATTATTGTAAGAGACATAGAGTGGGATTTTAAATCAAGCGAGATGAAAGAAGAAATCTAAATACAGAATAAATTGGTCAACAATAGAGTGAAGTACCAAGAGTCACAGGCTTTAGAGGCAGACTGAGAAAGCTGGAATCCTAGCTCTTCCATTGACAGGCTGTGTGATTTTGAGCAGGCTGCATAAATTCTCTGTGCCTCAGTTTCCTAATAGGGGACAAAGAATAACCCCTAGGGCTTTTAAAACAGGTAAAAAAGTAGAGCAGACTTTAGCAAAGTTTTTCCATAAAGGGCCAGAAAGCTCCTATTTTAGGTCTCGCAAAACTGATAGTCTCTCTACTCAAAAGGAAAAACAGCTATAGACAACATGTAAACAAACGGACATGGTTGTGTTCCACTAAAACTTTATTTACAAAAACAGGCAGTAGGTCAGATTTGGGCAGAGGGATGTAGTATGCTGACTCTTACTTAAAACCATTGCTCAGCATATGTTAAACTTAATAATGTAGCTTTTATCATTTTGCTTGGAGGAATTTGCTTCCCAGCAAATAATTCAAGTTTCAACCTTTTATACAACTTTTAATCATGTTATCACTGTAACGAGAACACATTTTGCCTATTTTTTTTATTATTGCCTATTTGTTTATCATTGTTTGTTATTTGCCTATTTGTTTATTATTGGAATCAACATAAAATGAGCTGATATCTAAGACTCATCACCTCAAAAGATTTCCTCAGATACTTCATTTATGTTTGTCATCAGAAATAAAACCAGCAGGGTATTTTCTGAAACAATATAACTTCCCCTATAATTTCAACCATTCTGAAGCACAGAATTTAATCTGAAAAACCTGTAAGACACTATAGTGGGAAATATGCCAATAACAGCAGCAGCCTGATTAATTTGAATGGTTTCGTTCATTTGAAAATCATTTATATTTAATGATGAACTGTTAATTAATAATTGTATTAAATTAAATTCAAACAACACTGAATGAAATCAAGGCACTAAACTACTGAATGTGGAATAAATTACTCCCTTTCTCCTCTCCAGTATCACATTTCTACTTATACTGTAGTGTGTGTGTGTGTGTTTATAAGTATGTTCCTAACTTCCAGAATTACTTACAGATTTCTGACGAGCAAGTCATGGCATCACTACCCAGGAAATTCAGGGTGTCCTGGGTGAGTTCAACAGCCACATATTCTTGTTGTGATTCTTATTGTGCTGTTAAACTACAAGTACAATTACTTAACCGCTTCGGATATCTGCTCCAGGAGCTAAAAATAAATATTTTTAAAAACAAATTTAAAGAAGCCGCACCTGCCTCCTTTTTGTACCAACTTTTGCAAGCCTATTTTTTTTTTTTTTTTGGCAAGGTTTGTCTGGAAGTTGTTGCTCTCCTCTGCCCACACAGTCCTCGGCTTTATTAAATCTTCTAAATGCCTGTCTTCATTTGCAGGGCTTGGAACAGCAGCAGCTGCTGCAACCCAGAATGAGACAGGAAATTCTCTTGCTTAGTAACAGCCTTAAGCACCCACATTGCCCTCACTCTCGCTCTCCCT